GTATAGAGTTAATGTAGACTTTAGAAGGAACCAGAAACCCAATCCTAAACAGGAAACATGCTAAACCTTTACTACTGTTCAAAAGAATGGGGAGGAGAGTGAACTGGATGATAAATGAACCTATCTACACCTATTTTGAATTTAAGAGTATAATGCAAAAACTTACAGAATCATGTAATTTACATTTTGAAGTATTCCAATTACAAAATTCAATAACTTAGATTCCACCCTCCCTTTTTCAATTATATATTTTATTTCTTTTTTGGTATACACCGCTACAAAACTCAAAGTATTTCCTTTTGAATAAAGGATTTTTTCAGATAGTTTTATCATTTTGTAGGTGACAGAGACATGTAGGCAAAATGAGAAGGTGTTCTTGTGCGCATATATGCATATATACAGGGTGTAATGGATAAATTGTCTAAATTATGCAAAAATGAAAATAAGACTAACATTTCATTTTAACAGATATATTTACCAAAATTACACAAAAATATCCTGAAATCTCCCACAACTCTCCTTGTTTAAGTTGGTGAATGCTGACTTAATCCTTGCCTTCAAGTTCATCTTTGGTATTACAAGGAGTTTTTTTTTATCTCTTTCTTAACTGAGCCCCACATTTAATAATCAAGGGGGTTGCAGTCTGTGAAGTTAGGTGGCCAGATGTAAGGAGTGATGTGGTTGCAGAAATTGTCTGACTGCCATGACTGGGTTCTGCTTCTGTGACATGGTGCAGAGTCTCGTTTCCAGACATAGGGTCTTCCAGCAGCCACCCTCTTGAACCAGGACAGCACTACCTCCTCAAGGCACTTGATGTAGGCCTCCATGATGTTGGTGAATGCTGCCTTAATCCTTGCCTTCAAGTTCATCTTTGGTATTACAAGGAGTTTTTTTTAGTCTCTCATTCAATTACACCCCCCCACACACACACACACAATAATCAAGGGAGTTGCAGTCTGGGGAGTTAGGTGACCAGATGTAAGGAGTAATGTGGCCGCAGAAGTTGTCTGACTGCCATGACTGGGTTATCCTGCTTGTGTGGCATGGTGCCAAGTCCTGTTGTCAAATATAGAGTTTTCCAGCTGCCATCCTCTTGACCCAGAGCAGCACTACCTTCTCAAGGCACTTGATATAGGCCTCCATGATGCCAAAACACTCAGAAATGTTCATATTGAAGATTCTGACATGAATGCCAAGCAGTACAGCATGCCATTTCCAAATTTCTGATAGAGTGAATGGCATCATTGTGCTCTTTTTCTCAGTCGGTGCCCAACTGACCCTACTATGCTGTGTCGTGGACAAAATAAAAAAAATAAAAAATAAAATGATGTCAATTTACCCATTACCCGCTGTATGAGAGGAAGAGAAAGAAAAATTTTTCTACACAAAACACCATTGAGCTTATTTGATTATTCAAATTTACATACTGAAAGTAGTTTAAAATTTGATTTCCTGAATGTGCTATGTTACAAAAAAAGAATTTTTTTTTTCTTTTACCGAGGTTAAATTTACAAGCTTCCAGCAGTAAAATGTATTACTGACATCCCAAGCAAGTTTTAATTTACAAGTGATGTTAAACCGAAAACAAAATTTCTAAATCACAATTATGCTATTTATAAATATTATTGCTTAAAATATAATGAATTAAAATTTATGTGTAAAACTCTTACCAAAATGGTCTGTCAAAAATTTCGGAACTTACCTGCAAAATAAAAAAAAAAAATGAAATAAATTATAAAATATGGAAATCAACAAAGTACTGTTATCAACTATAATACTTTACTACTGTAATTAGTATGCATTAGTTGAATTCTAAGATACTAGGTATGCACAAGTTTCTAGCAAAAAAATGTTTTCCAACTGTATCCAGTTTAGTTTTCTATAAAAAGGTGCTGAGTATTTTTGCACACATGTAATACAACTTAAATTATAGAAAATGTTTTGATTATTTCAGATGCAAGGAAATGAAAAGAAACGCAGTGATAAGAATCTGGATTTCAAATTCAAACCACAAACTATTTTGGTTAATATATTAAATTGTACAATTCTACTTGTCAGTGTAATTCCATTGCTGAGAAACAAAACTTTTGGTTGTTATTTTAATTATAGAGCTGGCAAATCTTATAAATGATTTAGTTAAAGTTCAAGCACATCTGAAAAAGCCAAACATTGTTTTTTTTTTTTTTTTTTTTTTAATCATTTAAAGACAATAATGACACTAAGACACAAGGGGAGTGTCAGTGTGAAAGAATGAGAGAAAAAAACATTATTAAGGAGAGAATAATAAAAACAAGAATTAAGACAAAAGATAATGACTGAAATTGCATTTAAATTGTTGAACATCAAAGATAATTAAAAAACAAAAAGCTGGAGTTCCACAAGTGAGAAGTATGAGAAAAGAAACTGTTGGCTTACAGTTACATCTAGAGGCCACTTCAACTGTAAAATGATGAGACCTTGTCACCAATCTAGTACTGCACTTAAATTCATAAAATCAAGGTACCATAAAGGAAACCCATCAGAACAATTACCATGAAAATATTTATAGAAGCAGCACAGGGAAGCTACCTTACAGTGGTGGGAAAGAGATTGACACTAAGATGCCAGGTCAGGACTGATAACATTGCAGATACCTTTCTTGCATTTTATTAAGATATATAGCAGAAGTACCATACAAGATATGACAGCAATATTCAATATACTTGTCAAAGAAATACAGGCATTAAAAACGTTTTCCAAGTTTTAAATTCTTATTTAAATGTAAACTTTAATGAAAAGTATATATACTACAATAACAGTGACTCACATATATGGCATTCTCAATTTAAAAATACCTGATTGACTCATTTCTAAAAATTGTATTCCAGGATTGATTTTAAAAAAGTTAATTCTTTTGAATGGTATATTTATTTTTGTTGGAAGTTGACAATTATTTTTCTGGCAAATCCTATCAGTATTGGGTAAATTTATATGTACAATTTCATCTTTAATGAACCATTTTAAAGAATTAGATAGAAAAATTTTCATACTTAATTAAATTATACTAAATTCCATTCTGAATACATTCTTTAAATTCAAATATTTCAAGTATTAAATTGAAACTGACAAATCGATTAAAGTTTATTCATAAAGAAATCTTCCAGTTTTCAGTATTAAAATGTCAGAAAAATTTCCAAGTACAAATCAAGAAACAGAACATGAAATTTTATGTTAAAAAGAAAACTACAAATGAAACAAAAAAAATTAATGAGTGAGGGAGAAAAAAAATGTTGATAGAATTTCATATATGGACTGAAGTAATTATCATATGATGAAACTTTCAACAAATTTTTAAAAGCATTCTCAAAAGAAAGGAATTCAAGTTAACAAGAGATTATATAACTACCAATTTCAATGGCAATGAAATAATATGTTGCAAAGAACACACTTGAGGTTGCAGAAGTTCAGACTATTATGTGGTAAGAACAATGAAAATAAAACCTGAAAATACAACTTCATGAAGGAAAAAGTTGTTTTCATCACGAAATTTTTCTGGTTAAAATTCATTTCTTTTAAGATCTCAATTTTTAAAAGATTAACTAAAAATGCTCCCATGTAAACCAGATATAAAACAAAAGGCTTTAAAAATAGCCTTGTTTGCTGAAACAGGAACTAAAATAAAAAACAAATTCCAAGTTTTCAGTCTTGCAAAACTAAAATGTTTAAGTCTGGTTTTTTAATGATCTGCTTTGGATCTAAGTAACATTAAAATCAAAATCAACTGACTTTGGTGGACATTTTTTAAAAAAGAAAAAATCTAAAAATTTTATTCATGTTGAAAAAAAAAAAAAAAAAAAAAAAAAATTTTTTTTTATATTTTGAAATTATATTTTAAAAAAATAGCTGTGGAAAAGTTATAACAGAACAATATATAAAATGCATTAAAAACTTTAAAATTACTATGAAAATTATAGATAAATGTCTTTTTTATATGCTGATTATTCCAAGAACTATAACCCCCTTTTGACCAATTTTATCAAATGACACTATGGGTGTTTGTTAAGGCGAAGAGAAAAGTCAAACTAACAAAATATGTCTATCTGAAAGTTTTAGGAGTAAAATATATTTTCTTAAAACTAAATTATCAAATAGCATTTCAACTACAGTGTGAACATGTGAGTTACTGGGGTGTAGAGAGAAATTGAGATTGTTTACAAGATTAATGTTACTTGTATACTAATCTCAAACTAGAGAGGGAGTAGTCAGTATCATGTGATTAATACAGGTCATGTCAAGTAGTCTCAATTCACAAAATGATTTTGTTAGTAAAGTGACATCAGGATATTTACCTAATCCAGTTCATGTTCACAAGGGTAGAAGAGAGAGAAATAGGAGTAAGTTCATTTTTCATTGGGGAATTATTTAGGGTAAATCAAATCACTTAATACATTCAACTGAAACTGTATTGTAAAATAAATTTTTTATTTATCATAAAAGGTAAATGAATATGGAGCAGAGGTGATCTTAAAAACATTATTTATTTATTTATTAGACTAACTGCAGTCGAGATCATAGAGTTGGGATCACAGAGTTATTGTAAACTTCAAGATCCTTCAAGATCCTTTCATAAGCTGTATATAGTATGTGATTGCCAGGGCTACACATGGTTTTTAATTCAGAGTTGTCTTTCTCCTAGACTGGTTGCCAATCAATGCAGAAGAACAGTCTGCTCTACTATTTAATCTATATCTGGGGGGATTCGTAACTTTCTGAAGGATATTTGCACAAAAATGAATGCAAACTTGGCTCTGATTTTTTGTTCTGAGCCATTATCCATTACACCAGCTGCACACTATTACAAAATGTTGGGATCAATTTTTGATATATCAAAAAGAAATGGCTTGCTTTTTGTTATCTTATTTCTGATAACACAAAATAAGAAAAGAAAATTAAATAATTTCTCTATGATAAAGTTAGGATATGGCATTTCTTTATTGTTTAGTATATAAACCTGTGCTTACTTATAGGTAAGGTTGTAAAGACATGTAACATTCCTTATTGAACTGGGTTTAAAGGAAGGAAAGAGAGAAGGAAGGAAAGAGAGAAGGAAGGAAAGAGAGAAGGAAGGAAAGAGAGAAGGAAGGAAAGAGAGAAGGAAGGAAAGAGAGAAGGAAGGAAAGAGAGAAGGAAGGAAAGAGAGAAGGAAGGAGAGAGAGAAGGAAGGAAAGAGAAGGAAGGAAAGAGAGAAGGAAGGAAAGAGAGAAGGAAGGAAAGAGAGAAGGAAGGAAAGAGAGAAGGAAGGAGAGAGAGAAGGAAGGAAAGAGAGAAGGAAGGAGAGAGAGAAGGAAGGAAAGAGAGAAGGAAGGAAAGAGAGAAGGAAGGAAAGAGAGAAGGAAGGAAAGAGAGAAGGAAGGAAAGAGAGAAGGAAGGAGAGAGAAAGGAAAGGAAGGAAGGAAAGAGAGAAGGAAGGAGAGAGAGAAGGAAGGAAAGAGAGAGAAGGAAAGAGAGAGAGAAGGAAAGAAAGAGAGAAGGAAGGAAGGAAAGAGAGAAGGAAGGAAGGAAAGAGAGAAGGAAGGAAGGAAAGAGAGAAGGAAGGAAGGAAAGAGAGAAGGAAGGAAGGAAAGAAAAAACAAAAAACAAAAAAAAACAATTGCAATGTGCTTCAAATGCAAAATTATATATAAAAGTAAGTGATCCATGAAATAAATCTACAAAATAAATTAATGAAAATTCCATTGTTGGATGTAAAACATCAAAAGTCTAGAAAAATGCACTTTTTATTATCTTCCTGTTTACTTCTTTCTCTCTTCCTTGTGTTCAAGGGCTCAATTCAGATTTATTGTTCTATCTCACTCACACATACACATCCTTCTGACACATTCTGCTGTTACACAGTGAAAGCTATTAAATATAGTTTTCTTGGTTCCACAGTACCTTAAAATAAATTTTGGCCTGTCTGTTTTTTATGCAAGAGGAAATATCTGTAATGTCATCAAATATACACTGTTATTTCTTTGTGATTCTGTAGCACCAGTCCATAAGGTTCAAAGAAGTGTATTCTTCGTCAAGACCCACAGTCTTCACTCACTCAAAGCCATTTTTAATCATTGATCTGAGAAAGCGGTTGTATACAGCTGACAGTTTAGCTATTTCTGAACAGGCCTGGCACCATGCATGTCATCCACATAAATATCTCAATCTGATGAGATTATTTAAGAACATGACTCAAGTTTCAGGTTACTGTTTTGGTTTTGTAACAACTTATGTATACTAAGTAATTACTTAATATTTGTTACTGGAAAGCTATAAGCAGAAATATCTACTAAACAACATTGTCTGTTTAATAAAAGAATTGACAATAGAAAGTTTTAAGCCCAAATTTTCTTTTCCTCATATTGCACTTGGCTTATGGCCATATCACGTTAAAATACTGGTTCCTGTACAATCACTGAAGTTAAGCAACGTTGAGCCTGCTCAGAACCTAGATGATACTGTAAGTTTGGATGTGCAGGTGATTGTTATATTCACTGCAAACACCCTTAGGAAAGGTATGAATCTAACTCTTGTTCCTCCAGCTATGGGTTAATTGGTAAAACTTGTATCAGTAAAACATTATCTCCAAAAAAGAAAAAAATTTAACAATCAAAAAATATTTGGTGCTACTTTGGTTTGTTATCTTACGTGTCATGAATCTACTTTGGTATGACATCTATTTTTAGGCAATGCTGAAATAGAAAGTTTTTTAATATTTTAATTACACTTCCTCTATGTTATATATGTTATTGTGTTTTACTATGTGGATATCATTCCAAATTAAAATTTGTACAGTGTAGAAATTTTAGCTTATATATATATATATATATATACTCTGTTTATCACTAGAATGTAAATAAAAGAAAAAATTCTAAATATTTTCATTATATTTTCTTTATGTCATATGTTTTACTATGTAGATATCATTCCAAAATAAAATTTGTACTGTGTAGACATTTTTTCCTTGTAGATAACAAATCAAAGTAGCACCAAATATTCTCTGACTTTAAATAACCTGCAAAGGGTTGTTAAATTATAGAAAACTAATCTATGAAGACATGGAAATTTCTTTCAGTAAAGAATATGTACATTTTCAGTTCAGACTAAACCTTTTCCCCTTTGATACATTTATGAGCAATACATTTTTTACACATTATCAAAGTAGACAAAACTGTTGTACTGAAAATCATCCAACATAGTGCTAAATAATAGATCCTCTATGGCTGACAGCCTTCTTCTATATCTTATGTTCTTTCATTATGTTGGTAATCATGGCTCTCAACAAATTTCCTGTTCTCTGTAGCTCTTAAATAAATTGTCTTTTTGCTATCTCTCCTAAACCCTGTTCTGCCATCCATTTACACAAGCTAACTAGGTAGGTTATGCATTGTTTTCCTCTGTCCCTCTTGCCTTCAAATCTATCAAGTAAGTATTACATTTCCAAGCCCTCTTTCCTCATTATGTGCCCTAGAGATTTCCTCTATTTCTTTCTGATGTTAAGTATAAGTGTTCTTTTTGTTTCCATTTTCTCTAAATCACTACAATTTTAATCTCTTCAATAGAGTTAATTTTTATCTTTCCTACATATAAACTGAACTTCTCACCACCACCTCTTATGTGTATCAACCTCAGTCAGTAACTCTACCTTGAGTGGCTCTTGGGCCGGGTGAATAGTTATTAAACGTGTGTGTATGTCTCTCTCTAAATATTATTTATTTATATATATATATATATATATATATATATATATATATATATATATATATACACACACAAAAGTACAAATATTACTTAGTGTTGAAAAATACAGACCATCTTTTATGTACTAGCTGAATGTCTATGAATTGTGTTTAGATTCAATATATTCATTTATTTGTTTAATATATTTCAAAACAATATAAATTTATAAGTCAATACCTAGTCGTCCTCATTTGATTAAGGTGTGAAAGTAAACATTTCCCTCCACATTTAAATGTATTTTTATAAGAATTATTTTGATTCTATATACACAGCATTACCTCTCAATAAACTTCCTCGAAGCTGAAATCTCTTTTGTATTTACAGAGACATGTACTTAGAAAAACTTTTAATGTCTCATAGATAAAGCAATTCTCACTCACAAGTAATTCTGAAAACAGTTGAGTTGATGCATAGTTTCTTTCCTTTCACCCAAACATTTATCTGAATGATGAAACTTCCATTCATAAAGCATAAGAATGAGGGCAAAGAGGTGTAAATAATGCAACCTGAGAAACAACATTCTCTTCACACTCCACGAAAATGAGTAGAGATAAAGAAAAAAGAAGCTAATATTGATCAAGGTAGAAAGAACATGGTTGTTTCATATTTTTGTTTGAAGATAACCTTATGATTACTTCAAATAATCAGCTGTTTTAAAAGAGATATTAATGAATTAAAACACTATTGTTAATTAGTTTAATTAGATATAAAAAAAAAAGAAAAAAGATTCACCTTTCCTTGACCATTAAAAAAATATTTAAAAAATAAATAAATCACACACACACACACACACACACACAAAAAGGTGCTACCCAAGAGTTTTTCATTTGACGCACATTGCAATTCTGGTGTTTTTTTGTTTTTTTTTCAAACTGAGTATCAGCTCTCACACACAAACATACTCTCAGGAAATCTGGTTGAACTCTTGAGAAAAGGATAATTTTCAAAACAGTGGCTCCTACTACTATTGACATATTGCTCTTCAACTGAATTGAGCTCTACATGCCACTGGTGTATTTTGTATAGAAAAAACTAAAATTTCCCTTTCTCTCTGACGTGTGACAATAGCCTAGGGGTAGGATCTCTGACTGATGCCAAATTGGTCAGATTTCATTCCTGGCTTGAAGCAATCAGATGTTTAGATGTGAAGAGCTGTGATACAGCGAAATAGTCTGTCTGCAGATGACATATATATATATATATATATATATATATATATATAAAAAAATATAGATTTTAAGGTATGCTGTATTTATGGGATAAAGTGCTCAATATCAGAGAGAGAGAGCATATGTTAATATAAAAGTGAACATTGAAGTTAACACTCAGAGGTGACAGACTCATGCTAAACACAATCATCAGGCCACACAATAACTTTTAGCATGAAACAGTGTTGCCTCTGAGTGTTATAAATTCTATGTTAAAAGTGACATTTGCCAAAAAAGGAACAGCTAAATAAAGAGTGCTCAATACAATTATCAAAGTGAAAATGTCCGTATATATATATATATATATATATATATATATATATATATATAAGTAATGAAAATCTTGGTAATCTGTATGGATAATCCCAAGGAGGATGAAATCCTGAGAGCTCAATGTTAATTCAGAGCGAATAATTTAATTTAAAGAAAAATAGACCACTTTAAGGCTCCATTGTAATAATTTATTTCACCAGAGACTTATTTTTTGCTGGATCTTCAGACATCACTTTCAAAAGGTGAAACGAAAAATGAAATTAAAATTTACACTTTTGACAGGCAGTATTAAGCTTATACAAGTTAACATAGAAGGTAGCGAGGGATGGTGTGAGAGACATTTTTTGAATACGGAAGAAAACACAAATATAATAACTGCATCCTAGTAGAAAAGACAAATATAATAACTGCATCCTAGTAGAAAAGACAAATATAATAACTGCATCCACCTGTAAAAAAAGATTAAAAATAATGGAAGCTTTAATTATAAAAAAAGAAAAAGCCAACTCTTAACAACATTAACTACGAACAAGGCCACAATGTGCTAACCGTATTCGGAAATTAAAACATCCCCACAACACACTAAAACATACACATAATACACACACTCAATTAAGCTGAAAAATTGAATCATCCTTGATAATGGCTGAAGGTATAGCCGAAAGTGCTCGGAACTATAAAACATTTGGAAAGTTTTTACACACTCTTTGTCCAGAAAAGAAAGCTCTTGTTCATGAAAAATTAAATAAAAAGCTTAACCGTCGTACATTGTCTGTCATTTTTAATGAAACATGCATAAAGAAAGGATTGCTGCCTAAATATACAACTAATATATATATATATATATATATATATATATATATATATATAATGTGTGAGAGAGAGAGGAGGATTAATACAAAATATGAAATTGTCACTTAGCTGATTGATATTATATTAAAGATCATTACTTATTTAGAAATGAGTAATATACTTTTTCTGATGCATAATTTTTTTTTATTTTTATGACAAAAATGAGTTACTTATACTATAGAAAATGGTTAATTATATTCTACTGCAAAAGTGAATAGATCTTTCCCTACATCTTCAAATGAAAAGGGGAAAAAATACTTTATAAATTGGATTATATTTAAATTTTTTTATTTAAAAAATTAAGCAAAAAAAAAAAAAAAAAAAATTATATCCTAAAAGTATAACAAATTAAGAGCTTCCTCTATAAATGAAAATAGAAAACAGCACTTTCCCTAAATGCATCTTTTTTTTTAGAATTCCAGAGTCAGAATAGAGTGCCTCTCTACGAAATTAAGTTGTTAACTTACTTTACATAATACTATATTAATACTTCAGAATATTTATTAAAAAATAATCCAATTTGTCTATTTACTAAGATTTGCTATTCTACAAAT